GGTAGGAGTACAGGCGACAGGATGGGAATACATATGGTGGGTGGCAGGGCCAGACTCCGCCCACAGGGGCGGAGTTTGAGCGGGAACTCGTAAGTCCGCTCAAGGTCTATAATGGAATTCAACTCATGTGGCTCCGTCTCCCATGGCTAGAGCCCCCAGCGCACGCGATAGCGTGCGTACCCGCCTGGTGGGAACATATGAGGGAAGGGAACGTTTAATTCGAGCATTAATGTAAAGCACTGATGGATTCGTATAAGAAAGCCACTCATTAGAGTGGATTTGAAATGGTTGCTCTATCGTGAATGCCCACAATCAAACTGAAAACGACCTTTCTTTCCTACCGAATTTCTTACATAAGGCAACTACTGTAGGATCGAACGAGCATCTTCAAAGGTTGAGGTTTTATACACTGATGCGATGGTAAGTGGCGTAGTAATTGACCGCGCTTGGTGGGGTCGCCGATAGTACCGTTCGATATCGATCTTCTGGACATGTAAACATTGGTTTGTACCGTGACTGTTAGCTTCGCGCTATTCCTTTACTAGGCGTCAATCAGGCATTCCGACTTTGGTTCAAAAGGACCGATGTACGGCTTCAACTGAGCAGTTTCATGACAAGAAGCCATTACAGTTTCTAGATTAATATACCAACTCCGAAAAAGATCGTTTTTTCGAGCGAATATGGGGTATATTCTTCTTCTGTTCAACCGGATCTAATCTTTGGTGGTGAAATGAGCAGGGAGGCCTCAAAGGGTCACGATGAGGACTGAAATATCGTGAAGCAAAGCAGATGAACGTCAACTACGCTTGTTTCCTTTACGAATGTAAGCTACACGCACAGGATGCCGAAAATGTATCAGCATTTGGTACCTGTACTTGGTTCAGGCTCTACTAGTAATCTGACGCTGAGGCGGTGGCTCGTGATGATCGTTGTTTCAGTGATTCAACATCTTGTTTACGCTTCTCTGCTTGTCGTACTAAACTGAGAAAGCTTTTATCCTTACCGTGGAGCCGTACCGGTCTTACACTCAATTCGATGTTTTGGAACCGACCACGCAATGATTTTGGTTTAGACTATAAGGAGTGCTGACGGATAGGAGCGATATACTTGCTTACAACATCCCTCTTAATGCTTTTCTGCGTTGCGATAAAGTACAGAAATAATTTGAAGAAGCCATCTTTCCAGGCAAAAGTTGCAGCCATACTACCAATGTACCAGGTCTTCACTGGGGTCAAAGGGCTGTAAGTTTTTGTGCGCGAAGATCGCTGAATAATAAATACTAATACATCACTGTTGAGGGATATATCTCAGTCGGAATTGATTGGCCAGCAAAATGATATTCGGGCAAGCGCTGCTTCGTCGACTAGCACATCATCTTCGATATTTCCTAATGTTAGCGTTAAAAGGACTCGTACGAAATCTCCTATCATTCGTCGTTCACCGCTCTTCGTTGAAGAGGTAGGGTTTTTCCTATTAAAAATCAATAGATCGATTTACTACTCTATTGGTATGCTATATTTAGAGTTCACCAACTGAAGCTCTGACTTCTAAAGATTCTTCGCCTCATCATTGCATATCCACTTCTCAAAGTATTGATGTGGGAGTGCTGTCGCAACCGTTTTGCCAAATTCAAGCTTATGACCTTACTGTCCGGCGCACCTCGACTGCAAATTCTCCGTGCGGTAGAAGTTCTCATCATTTTAACCAGATATCGCCTTCCAAATCCAGTTCCGCTCCAATGCATATTGTAAGAACCTTAAATATGAAGTTTTTTTTTTGGAACATGTGCATTATTCACTCGTTGGCCCACATGAGGCGCTTTGCCCATACTTGCTGCATTGTGCACTACTTTGTTTTAGGGGATCATTAAGCTCAACTGGCATCACTTGCTGCGCTTTGAAGGGGTCCCAATATTGGGTTTTTTGGATGGCTCTTCTCATTATCCGAAGCTCTTACATGCTGATTCGCTTTCTTATAAAACAACATTGATGTTTCATGGACGTGAACTTCTTTCTCTGACGCCTTCCATATAATCTTCTGTTGATCTGCCACTTTTTTATAACTGGGATAGTCATAGTGAAATGTTTAACTCTTACAAGATTGATGATTTGGTCGTCGACACTACATACTACAAACGCCTCACCAATGACTTCGTCAGATCAGTAAGTGATGAAAAGGAATCGCCATAAAGAATTTGAAAAAGTACTGTGGAGTAGAAACGGTTGAAGACATAAAGCTTACAAATGCTTTGTTAGCATCTATGTGGGAGAGATTTTTTGTAGAACAGTCATACAATTTCACTAGCTAATAATGAAATTACGATTTGGTACTGGAAAATGACGGCTCACTGGTTCTAGACCTTTACCTACAGTAAAGTCTTATTTTTCTGGCAAACGTTGTGGTCGTATTGGAAAGTTCATACTTCAATGCTCCTTTAGTGAGTAACTTAACTTTGTTCACGGAAAAATGGCGCTGTCCGAAATCTAGATAGAGAAGTATTAGGTCGTGAATTGTTGCGTTTTTTGACGCCCAAGTTTCGAATGACCGCCGCGGTGTCATTTGCTATCAGACTGTTCACAAAATTTGTACCATTCTGAAGCACGTTTCTTGCTCTATCCAAATATGTAATCGGTTTTGTCATGGAGGGATTCCTGGGGTTTTTTAGAAGGTCGAAATCGGCATGGACAAACGACAGACCCGCACAATTTTTCTTTTCCAATTCAAATTGGGCAGGAGTGCGACGGAAACGGCTCGGGATATCAACGGTACCTTTGGTCCAGGTACGAAGAATCAACTTACACCACAGTGGTGGTTTAAAAGATTTCGTACCGGTGATGAGAGCCTGGAAGATGATGAGCGTAGCGGGCGGCCATCGGCCGTTGACAGCGAACGATTGAGAACACCACGTACAACGTTGAAGGATATAGGCTCGAGTTTGAATGTTTCCAGCAGGACGATTGGCACCCACATGAAGGAGATCGGGAAGGCGAAGAAGGTTGATAAGTGGGTGCCGCATGATTGACTCAGCACCAGAAAGACCGCCGCTTCGAGCTCACCTCCGCCTTGCTTCTACGCAAAAGGAACGATCTATTTTTAGACGATATTGTGACAAGTGATGAGAAATGGATTCTGTACGACAACCTGCGACGATCAATCCAGTTTCTGAACAAAGATCGAGCCCCACGACATTTTCCCAAGCCGAAGGAGCATGGAAAGGTCATGGTGCTGGTTTGTGTGGTCTGCAGCCGGGCTGATCCACCACAGCTTCATGGATCCGGGTGAAACCGTGACAGCCGGAAAGTACTGTCACGAAATTGACGAAATGCATCGAAAACTACAGTTCATGAGCCCGGCAGTGGTGAATAGGAATCGGACATTTCTACCCCACGACAACGCTCGGCCCCACGTCGCACAACTTACCCTGAGAAAATTGATGGAGTCAGGCTGTGAAACTCTCCCGCATCCACCATATTCCCCAGACCTTGCTTCCACAGACTACCATTTCTTCAAACTTCTCGACGGCTTTTTCGAGTGGAAATGCTTCAAAACCCAACATGATGCTGCTGCGACATTCGACGATTTCATCGTCTTTAGATCTCCGGACTTCTACGCGAATGGGGTAAACAAACTTGTTTCTCGTTTGCAAAAGTGTGTCGATAGTAATGGTTGTTATGATGAAGTGATGGATGAAGTTTTGTTTAAGCCGGGATATGTACATTTGAAGTTTGAGGCGCAAAAACGCAAGAACTTTCTTCACGACCTAATAAATCTCGGATTAGACATCACCAGTACTTGTCCAAAAACCATGTGGATTTAGGAGACGCATTCCCTATTTATGGTGTGTGGGGTAGATTTATTCCACTTATTTCCCCGCATATGCATCCATGCATACATGTCTGGCCAGTTAGTTTTGCGATCGGTATACTGGACATCGCTCAGCCGAGAGCTTTCATTGGGGACTGGAGTTACTTGTGAGGGTCTGTAACAAATGAGCAGGTTGTCCACTTTGGAATTGAAAGGCTTGCTACCAGGTGTTTACCCTAATCCGACGTCCCAGGTTCTCAATGGGTTACAATTTTTTTGGCATATGGGTACCCAGCTCTTGGGTAGGGACTGTTCCCTGAAACATGCGATAGCAGAGGCATCGGCGGTGTAAGTGTACTCGTCAATAAGCAATAGGCCATGAACATCGATCGACTAGTGCGAAAGGTTGAAAATCCAAATAAGAGAAGCGGTTGAGAAGATGTGGCTCAACCCCAGCTCCAACAATCTCCGCTGCGCGCACTTCGACATTAAGCTGAGAAAGAGAGAAGTTGGAAGCGTCTGATATGGATTCACAAGTGGACCAGCCTTTCCACGAGGTCATCATCGATTATTTCAAGACCAAGTTGGCCTTCATAAGATACAGGGTGACTGAGAAGTATAGGACGCTCAGTTTGGCGCGTGTCGGCACTTTGCCAATGGGTTTTTTTAAAAAATCTTTTGAAACTTTTTGAAAGCACAGGAGCTGTGCAAGAATTCTCATATGCCACTTGATTGACCGTCCGTCTGAACCATCGCCATGGCAGTTTCTGTGAACCGACCCATCATCGGGAAGTTGCTCAGAGAACGTGTCAGGAGTTGTGCCATCGCGACGACTCAGCGTTCCCTCTTCAACCATTCGTAACGTCTCTGCTTTTCTAAGGGCTCGAGGACAAGCCTCCGAGTGATCATCAGCTCTACTCTAATCTTCACTGTAGGAAATTTGTCTGCCAGCCCTATGTCCTCGAAGTTACGCTTACAAATGTAGTGTCCTATACTTTTCAGCCATCCTCCACATCCATCGCAACTCGCAGTTCTAAAAACTATTCCCTTCGCGACGAACTTGAGAGACACCTGGTAGGCGGTCTCATAGTGAAGTAGATTACATCATTTTGAATCAAAACTTTGCCCTGACATGCATCGTTGTTGTTCCAAAGCTCTCACCTGGTGTTGGCCGTCATCTACCCCTGCTGGATTCTGTTTGAAAACGAAGAGAACAGCTTTGTTCAGGAAAGAAGCTCAGGACCGTCATCGCTTAAGACTACTCCACCTGTTAGGCTCTGCTGCTACACGATTTCTTCATCGACGACCAACATCGTTGGAGAATTGCCTGGCTCGTTTTCATGATAGCGCTAGGGTATCTGTCGGAACGCCAAGTATTCACGCCGTGAAGAACCAGCGGCACCGTGTTGCTTTATGATAAAGGAGATCTAGACAATGTCAGCAACTACGCTCAATCTTCCAATTGCTGACATTTTACGAAACCTTTGCACGAGCCATCCTTAATAGGAGTGGTATAACACTGGATGAAGGATAGCCGTGGGAGCAACAGGGTTACGGAAAGGTACTATACGAGTGCAGTTGACCACATTCACACTGTCGCTAGACGCATTGAAATATTGTTGGAGTACAGGATGCGATTATGTCCTACTTCATCGAGGTGGAGGAAGCCTCTGATTACATTGGAGCAGAAGCGCTAGTTCAATTGCCAAGGGGGATTCTTACTCAGCATATAAAGCTGCCTCGAGCACTACAACATCTCAACGCTCTTCAAAGGTCTTTTTCAACGTGAAAGAGGAGTCTGTCAGGGGGAAATCATCTCCCACGAACTTTCAGTAGCGGAGGTCACTATCTACATACATCATATCCGCTTTGCAGACAACATCGAACATCGAGCAGGAGGAGCGAATGACGGTTAGATTCGACAATGCTTATGGAAGTACTGTTTTATGACTGAACCTAACGAAGACGTTGTTCGTGAAAAACTGCTTCATACCTTTCGTGCTGAATTGAATGACTATGTCAAGAAGTCAACATGATGAACAAAATAGCAACGGAGCTAGGCAAAGGGAACGTGCGGCGTTAGGAGCATCTAGAATAATGTAAGAATAAGAAAAAAGAAAGAAAAGAAAAGAAGGAAAAAGATAAAAAAATAAGAATATAATATAAATAATAGAATCAATATCGAATAAGTATAAAGAGTACGAAGAACTTTTCTCCGGTGCTATCTAAAAAGTTGGCGGCGTCTGCGAAATTCGCTGTGGGACCGCAATACCGTAAGCCGCGCTCATGTGCTTGGTTGCAGCTGGCCTAAATTTTGTTGGACAAAATCGCGCGCTCGTTAGTGTTTTCGGATATTTAGGGCGCGTTTTTTTCTTTTCCTGCATGTTTTTGCATAGAAATTGTGGTGCATTGCATTAATGATTAGCTGCTAGAGTGGATTTCTGTCCCAGACATCCTGAAAAGTGACGATTACACACCTTAAAAACAAATCCAGCTACGGTTGTACAAGAATTCGCACGTAATCCATGGTAAACGACAAAGAAGTTTAATAATAGAATCTTTTCGGATCTTTTCGCGGCTTTTTTTCTCTTGATAGAATTTGAATATTGAGTTTGGGTTTTTCCTAGAAATGATCTACTTGATTTCCTCTACAAGAATATGCTCAAAAAACCATCGCGAAATTAGGCTTAACTACTTCGAGAAAGATTGGAAGGTGGCACAGTCATTCCGC